AGCCCAGGAGTTGAAGGTTGCTGTGAGCTGTGATGCCACAGCACTCTACCCAAGGGAATAGCTTGAGGCTCCGTCAAAAAAAAAAAAAGATTACCTCCATTGTTCTTTGACCCACTCTTTACTAGTAATAAGAGATGGTTTGAGCAAAAATGTGGACCTGGAGATGCTCTTAGCAGGCTGAGGGTTATAACTACTTTCATCTTTCTGCTATATTGTAAAGAACCATACTTACTTCGTTTCAATTTATCACAAAACACAAAGTCCACAGAGCTATCGATTCAAGTATCCCTCACTTCAGGGTATCCCACAATAGTGAGTCTCAACCTTTACAACAATCCCTTTCTGTAACTGAACTTTAGTAGTCTCTGACATTTGTTCATTCACACCTCTGCAAAACACTTTCTTCATGTGCTTCTTTGGTTTCCTCCTCACTCTCAGCCTGTTTCTTCTCATACTCCCTTTGCTGAGCTGCCTAAGTCCAAACCCAAACTCTGCAGTGACCCTACTCAGTGTATGGCTTCACTTGGTTCCATAACCTCTGCCTCTGTCTCACCTCACTCACACCACTCTAGACACATCAGCCAGCACTTTTGTTGTCTCTAATTTCTCTTCCACCCACAGCTTGTATTCACAAATTTCACATGTGTTTTTCTCACCATTCAAGCCTCTGCTCAAATGCTCCTGAGGTATGGAGAAACATCTGAGCAGAGACTTGAATAAAATACACTGACCTGAATGAAAAGAACTCTATCATTGTGCCAAATAAGTCAAGGAGTCAGGTCAAGTGTGCTGGCTCATGGCTGTAATTCCAACACACTGGGAGGCCAAGGCAGGAGGATGACCTGAGTTCAGGAGTTTGAGACCAGCCTGAGAAAGAATAAGACCCTATCTGTACTAAAATTAGAAAAACCAGCTGGGGCTCGGCACCCATAGCTCAGTGAGTAGGGCGCTGGGCCATATACACCCAACCCAGGCCTGCTAAACAACAATGACAAATGCAACCAATAAACAGCCGGGCGTTGTGGCTGGCGCCTATAGTCCTAGTTACTCAGGAAGCTGAGGCAAGAGAATCACTTAAGCCCAAGAGTTTGAGGTTGCTGTGAGCTGTGATGCCACAGCACTCTACCAAAGGCGACACAGTGAGCCTCTGTCTCAAAAAAAAAAGAAAAGAAAAACTAGCCGGGCTTCATGACAGGCTCCTGTAGTCTCAACTACTTGGGAGGCTGAGGTAAGAGGATCAATGGAACCCAGGAGTTTGACGTTACTATGAGCTACGACACCATGGCACTGTACCTAGGGTGACAGAGTGAGAGTCTTGTCTCAAAAAGAAAAGTCTTCATACTATTCACCTTGAAATCAAGCAAACAAACATGCAGTATCTTCAAAGAACTATAGGTTATGGGCCATTCCTGTGGCTCAAAGGAGTAGGGCGCTGGCCCCATATGCTGGAGGTGGCAGGTTCAAACCCTGCCCTGGCCAAAAACTGCAAAAACAAAAAAAGAACTACAGGCTGACCTAATACCTAATAATACCTTTTGCTACAACCATATTATAATATTTGCACTACTTAGTTGTAAATATCTCAAAATAAATGAATTTTCAAAAATCTGACAACTTTACAGACAGAATACTACAGCAATGAAATTTGTTCTATAATATAAAATCCCACCAAACTAACAGAATCTATAATCTGAAGGGCATCAAGGATTTCTACCTACCAAAGCAGTGGTTCTCAACCTGTGGGTCACAACCCACAGGAACTGTATTAAAGGTTCCAGGAATTAGGAAGGTTCAGAACCACTGTACTAAAGGAAGATAGAGTCAACTGAAAAACCTTCAATGCCTATAGAGCATCCATGTTGGAATGTTCTATGAGGTCCCCCAAAATACACCTACCGTCCCAGCCAGGATGTCATGAGGGCAGCAGTCCAGAAGGTGACTCTTGCAGACACGGTCATCTGTAAACTTGACCCTCTGTCTGGTTTCGTCTCCTGAAATTCATTTGTGGTTTTAAATAAAACAGTATTATCACATTAACCACAAAAGGTTATCTGGTACAATAATTCATCTGGATAATTTGCAGGCTATCATTTCTGCATTCTCCCCATCAAATGTAATGAAGTGCTGTTCTAAAGATATTTACAAGTGGAGTGGAATACACATTTTTTGAGGCCATGTATAACATGAAGAATCACACTTAATGAGATCTGACTCCATCATTGTGCTAAAAAAGTCAAGGAGTCAGAAATAAAAGGCTGAACACTAAACAGTTATTAGTCCCACATCTACCTGTGGGCATTGAAATTCCAAAGACCCATGCCAATCAGAGGGCCACGAATCACCGCATATGACTTAGATAGCTGGTAATTTCCACCAACAAAAGCTATTTATTAATCTAATTTTTGTTATAGACAGATGTACAGGATAGGCAGTGTTTTGCTTAACATTACATGAAGAAGAAGGGTTTCTAATTTTGATGACTGTTAAATAATCTCTTATTCTTCCTTTCCCCCTTTCAGCCCCACCCATAAAAAAAAAGAGAGTTGACACCTGGGAGTCACTTTTAACAAGACAATACCAAAAAAACCAAAAATGAACTAGGTTAGTGAATACACACTGTGAGCTCCAACACATACTGTACCCATCTGCATTCTTCAAGACCTCAGCTGCAGAATTTTATGCCCGCTGTTGAAAAGTTTTAAAGGAAAAGTTTTCTTGCCCACACCTGCAGTAAGGAAGTCAGGGGGAATGATACATAAAAGTAAAGGCAAAGTGGTATGTGACAAATTTTAAAGGTAAGCTGTGTATACGACACAGAGCTGTGTAATACTAAAGGAGGAATATATTTTAGGATTTGCAAGCATCCAGGATTAATGTAGTGTCTTTTTATTGAAAATGTTTTCTTGCTAAACTACACTTTAAAGTTACTTGTGAAAAAAAGCAAACACTTTTTTGTTATAACAGCTTAGAAATTGGTTGTGACTCACGGCTCGATGAACATGAGGCTTTTCTGCAACTCCCTTGCAGATTGATGTAGGCAGGCAAAGATACACTGAACCTTTATAAATAAAATAGAGGGGCCACAATTGTTCAGTTTGTATGAAATAAAAATATGGGAAGCAATTCAAAAGCAACTCAATATACAAAGAAAGCTAAAAAGCACTTATTCTCCTATGAAATAAAGTGCAAGGAATCTGCACAGCCCTGCAAATGTGCCAGTGTGAACTTACAACTTCATTACTTCAGTAGAACAGAAAACAAACCACAGCAGGTATATAGTTTTGCAAAAATGCAACTGTTTTCTCCTGAGACAACCATCATGATTTTGCAATCCTCCCTATCGTACAACCTACCTACCGACTGCCAAGCGCTGGCTAAACAGAGGCTCTCCTGTGTGACAGGGGGAAGGGGAAGGCTGGAAAAGTACTCGGCAGGAACCCACGTTAGAAAAGCTCAATTTACATCTCCCTACAGATGTAATGCTACAGAACAACAACGGCCCGGGGTTTCGAATCCCATCCGGCTCCCCCGGGTGTAGGTCCTTCTCCAAGGAACCTCGGAGAGTTCTGCCACCCGGCTGCCAGATCTCGTAGCCAACTCCCGGGTTCACCGAGGGGCGCTGGCTGAGGAGGAAACCGCAGGACTGCAAATGGGAGCCCACTGACGGCGCGGACTCCGAGGGAGGAGCCGGCCCGGGACCCACAACTAGCCGGGAAAAAAAGCCTGGCTGCGGACACCTAAGAGGCGAACCGATTTAGACAAAGCCCTGGAGCCTGCGGTCGGTGTGCGGGGGAGAGAAGCGGCGCGCCGCGCAGGCGCAGAAGATCTTGGCCCCCGCCTCAGGCCGCCCGGCGACCTCGCCTCACTTTAGCCCACGCCCCTCGCCTGGCCGGCCGCCCAGACTCACCGTCCCGGGCAGTGCCCATAAGCTGGTCCAGAAGGGCCCGCATTTGCGCCTGGGCGGACATAATGGCCGGTGGGGGTGGCGGGGTGAGGGCCCTCGACGGCTCCTCTCTGGGCGGCGGCTGCGGCGACGACGAAAGATGGTCACGTCGGCCTCTAGCCCGCTCTGCTCTTCCCCGCCGCAGGGGGCGCCGGGAGGAAGTACGTCACGCGGGCGCACGGCCTTCTGGGAAGTGCAGTTTGTGGGGCGGGGCGCGAACTGAGACTGAGGCCGCGAGTGGTCTACACGTGTCAAAGCGCAGACCCAAAATCCCGACGTGGTTTTTACGCTAAGACCCCAAGACCTCGGCTCGGCGCCTGTGGCTCAAGTGGCTAAGGCGCCAGCCACATACACCTAAGGTGGAGGGTTCGAATCCCCAGCCCGGGCCCGCCAAACAACAATGA